ATAGCCTCTTTATGTCCGTCCAGACTTGGAACGCACGTGTGCCCTGTCTGATAAAGTATTTCCTTCTTGTGTTGTGTAAGCATTCTTGCACTATAGTTCTCTGATCCAGGCAAAGGTAATTATAGCTACTGTGTGCAAGTTTTTAAAGAATGATGTGTATATGATCTGAGTAATTGGGGATTGCAGGGAATTTATTCACAGTCTATGGAACTTCTTGTGAGTGTTCCTGCAGCCGATCATCTGTTATGCTAGGTATAGGAGGAGTGATGCCCTAGGTGTTCGGATTTTTAGGAGAACGTCCTGCTTCCTGGTCTGTGATCCTCCCTGTTTGCTAGCATTGTAATTGACAAGCTGCACTGTGAGTGTCACTATGTGCTTCCCCCACCTGACTCATGCATCCCTACTCCTCCTACTGGGCAGGCCTTCTGTGTGCAATATAGTTTGCATGACTTAAGATGCTGTCACATCTGTGATTGCTGAGCACCTGAACAAACCAGTATAGACAGACCTGCTTTGCATGCTTCTTCCTGCAAAACGTTATATGTCAGATCCCCTGGGATAGACCTGAGTACACCTTCTGCGCTGAGGACTTCATTACAGCTTTGTCTGCAATCATTTTAACGTTTCTGGTAAAAAGTGGTACATGTGACTGGCATGGCAGAATTTTGTGCAGAAACAAGGCAAACCTTGCTCTCCTCTCATGGATTTCTAAGATTTGGATCCATGTGCGTCTGCTATCACATTAGTTATTGGGACAATCATATTTAGCACCTGCTAATTGGGAAATGACTTAAAGCAATTTTTATCTCCAGGCATTTTTTTTTACCTCTGCCTTTTATCACTTTTCACTTGGGAAAAATAGAAAGATAGCCCATGCCAAAATTTATTTATTTATTTATTTTGCAAGATCTCTGTCAGTAATGTTGCACCGACAGCCCAGCCATCTCTGAATGTAGAGTTCGTCATCCAGTTCATCAGAGAATTCAGGCAATTTTATGCAGAGCACCATGAAGATTTTTGACAGATTGCAGCCAAAGAATATTCCAAAGAATACCTGCCAATGGTTTGTATCAAGCAAGGCCACCCAATGCCCTAGGACATTGTTTTGCTTTATCAGCTTTGATCAGAATACAATGTGTTGAATTCAAAAGCGGAATACACAGTTCCCGGGGCACCGGTCCAAGCGTGTGCTCGCCCGGCCCACTTTGCTGCTTATTCTGCAGTAGCCGATAACATTTGATTTAAAAAGAACTTGAACTGCTGGAAGGGATGGGCCGCAATGTTTGTATACAGTTTTTTATGTGTGTGTCTGTTTTTTTTTACTTTAAAAAAAAAAAAAAAAAAATGGATTTATATGTTAATTAATTCAGCAGAATTGTGATCCGGGCATTTTTTTTATCCATGCTATTTTTACACAAATTAGACTGTTTGCATTGCATTTTTGTTATTTCAAACTGCAGAACAAAACTATGCTTAATGTGGTTTTGAATCTGGCACAAACCTTTGTATGTCCTAGCGTAGACAATCGAACATTAATGCATCCAGACATCATAGATCTGTGTAACTCAGTCTTGTTTGTAACTAGCTCGCATTTCAAGATTTCCCTGTGAGTTATCCTCCCCTCTGTAGTTTGGGCATTCCATTTTTAAAAAAAATTTTTTGGAGGGACCTATGAAGTTAATAGCTTCCTTAAAATCCCCTGCAGTTTTTCCCCAGTAATCTGTATTGTACGGATGATTGTTGTTTCAATACGGACCCTTTAGTACACTTGCAGAAGCTCTGTTGTAATGTTATGGCTTTTGGTACTGGTATGAATGCTCTGCTGACAATTTGTAGTATATCTAAAAGCATCATATCACATAGAACCTCTGCATTTGCTAAAATATATAACGTGAACCTTTTAGACCTGTGAACATATTAATCCATCGTGTGATATAGTGTTACTGTTTGATAGGATAAGCCACTGCTATGATATTCATTCATCAGTTTAAGGAGTTTGTCAAGTCAGTATTAATGTCTTATTGCAATGATCCCCCATGCATCCTCCGTACTCCAGGTAGGTCAAAGTGGGGAAATCCTTTAATCCTGAAACATTGTAGGGAGTTTGGGGTCCAGTTTGGAACCCACTGCTTTCTTACATCATCTGTTATCAAGGAGAGGGCATTGATTTTAAATTAGAAATAGGGCTCTAGTTATACTGTTGATGTAACAGTGTACACATATCTGTGTTTAATGTTTTGAAAGGTATATGGCTGATATTTTTTATTTATTTTGCATAGAGCGTTTCTTTACGCTTTTCTTCCAAAACAATGGCATTGTTCGTAGCGAAATGACCTGGTCATTCCTCCATAATCCCTAAGATTGTAGTAGAAACCTGTAACCCTAGTTCACCCCTTTTGGTTGTGTCCACTAAACAGCTACTTGAGGCATGTCACACGATGGAGACAGCAATTGCTGTAGGAATATCTATCCATAGATCTAAGCACAGCACAGTTTGTTAAATAAAACCCCTGGGGCCGGAGTTGTGTGTTGGTTAAAAGTTAGTTTGTTTTTCTCAGATAAATCACTGGTGTTTTCTTTTCTGTCCTGCTATAGCATGGAGATTCTTTATTTTAATTGTGCTGCTATACCGATGACTTTTTATACGCTGTATAATGACATGTACATGGATAGATCAATAATAGTCTGTATTTGCGAACACTCAGTGCTTGCATGATATAAACTCAGGTTGAAAGCTTTGTTTAGAACAGGTAGTGTTGGGTTGTCAGATTGCATTCCTAAAGGGATTAGGATAGGGGAATTAGATATAGGGTAGTCTGGGAATGATTGGAGTTTGTGTCCCAGCACATAAAACCGCATTTGACAAATGCTATGGCTCCAAGCATGTTACTGTCTGCACTGGTGTATTTGTAATTTTTATAATGTAAATAAGTTTTTAATGGTATGGAACATTACTAAAAAAAAAAAAAGACAATCCAGACTAATTGCAGAATTAGGACAGTGTGTCTGAACACCTTAGAGTACATCTGTGGCTTGGGGCATATTGGATGTAGCTATGAACATCAAGGATTTAATACAAAGCAAATGTAGCAACAAGTGTCAAAATAGATTAATGGCTATCATGTACATAGTGCGTACAGAAAAAAAAAAAAAAACTTTGCAACTATGAAGCTTTATTTATACACCAGAGGTGACGCTAGATCAAACCTGCATTATTTGTTTTTGATTTACATAGCAGCTGTCCCTTTTATCATACTGCTCCTGTTTGTGACATTAAGTGCAGATTTTTTAATCCGCAATTGTTCTACAATGCAGACAGCTGTTGTCTCTGTTTTTTGTGTGAAATATAAATGATAAACCATTTGCATTCCCAGCAGGGGGGTATTTACTTGGACAAACACACATTGAGAAGTTATACATTGAAATAAACATTTCCACGCTGGGATGTGAGTTACAGATTGAAAGGAAAGCACATGGGTGGCCAGGTTATATGTATAATATACCCTACATCTGCACTTGAGAAGCACTTTGCTTGTCTGGCTAATAACCTTATGTTTGATAAACAAGCAATTAATATAGAAGTTAAACACACCATGTTCGCATTTTGTTTACTGCAAAACATGCACGCCTTATATTTGTAGTTGCAAACCCATATCTTGCACATGTGCAGTTTTTACAGGCTAAATTCATGTTAATGACATCTATTATGTAGTTGAACCTACAGGAGTTTGGTTTGAGTATAACATTGCTTGTAAACCAGCATTCAACCAACTGTTGTAGGACTACCACTCCCATGATGCTTTACCAACCCTAAGGTCTTCTATTCCCCCCCACCCCCCCTCGCCCCCCAAAAACCATAACTGAATTGCGCACCTCCACATCCAATATATTGGTCTAGTATTTGAAATTCAGTTTTTCAGTTTACTGTGTAACTTTGTGGTCCATATGTACGTGCACTCACCGTGCTTTTTGCCACAAATTTAGTCTTTGGCGTCTGCGTTTAATGTTTTCACTTAGTTAACTGAATTTGTGTGAGGACATCTGCATCAGCAAAGTACAGAGGAGCTGAGCTAACCGTTTTCAGGCGATATCCAAGATTCTCAATGTGTAAATATTTTGCCAAGATCTTCTGAAATGTAGTCACAACAGTGTTCTTTAAAACATGTGAGCTGATGGGTAGATATAATAATTCTGCTCAGTGCTGACATCTCGCAGACGTCTTTCCTCTTACTCATTATACTCCTAAACATTGAGCAGAAATCTCTATGTGCCATGGTAAATTAAATATGATATAGTACAGTATGGAACATTGTCACGTTGGGTAATGTCCCCAGCTCATATTTTGAGGCGATATACCGCTTGTTGGTCTGTATAATTATCTCTTTCGACAACCAAGCACTCCTAGCCCCTATTGCAGCCTCTGGCCAGATCAATATGTATATATCTTCACTTGTTTGTGTGTGTGTACATTTATGTATATATCTAATTTGTTCATTCTCTCTGGTTGTCCATTTTCTCATCTTTCTTCTATAGTCTCTTAATTGTTATTAAGACCATCCCTATCTGATAGATTGAGAATAGGGAAGAGTTTAAGAGTAAAAATGCACGCTGACTATCATGTTTACATCCACCATTCCTTAATTCCCACATTGTAGGATGCAACTCCCTCTTTTTAAACCCTGTGCGCAGAAAAAAATAACTTCATAAACAATCTTTACCCCCCACTTCCCTCTGTAGCATTGCTTTTATCATTCTAAAGATCACGTTGCTAAAGCACTATGGGGTGGGGAACCATAACAAACAACTTCTCTTCAATGTATTTAATTGGCTTATGCACGGAATCAATTTCTCCAACCCTTGAGGTTAGCATGATCACAGTTTTTTAAGAAAAGAATACATACGTACAGTATAATTTTAAATTTCATGGAGTTTCTTTCCATCTCATAGTTTAATATTGTGTAACGCCAAGGGGGTAGTTACTGTATGGCTACTGTGGATAGATTTAAACCAGGGGTAGGCAACCTTTGGCACTCCAGATGTTGTGGACTGCATTCCCATGATGCTTTGCCAGTATTACTGTAGTCCACATCTGGAGTGCCAAAGGTTGCCTACCCCTGATTTAGACCATTGTTAACCATTTGTTTAGAAATACCTAAAGATATATTTAAGGAAGCATTGGCCACATTTTAGGACTTGTAATCTCTATTATTTGGTCTAACTGTAGGATTTACATAGAAAAGTGCCAAAGGCAAGAGACAGACCCTGTTTGTCCCTTACGTCTCCCTTTTTCTAAGACCTCCAAGTGTTTGCTGTGAATTAGTGCATAACATGACTTCATAGCAATAGAACTCTCTATACGATAATATATTTTGAGATAGTCCGTGTAAATAAGATACCTTTTGGTATTGTTCTAAAATATATTTTCATTTATACCGATGTTCTAATTAAGTCAAGAAGTCACCTTATAATTTCCAAGATTAGCCCTGCCTCTGGTCACACCCTCTAAAATCAAACTATCCCTCTGTGACCATTTTAAATATTAGGGGCTATAAGTGGAAGCTCTGTTTGCTCAGGAGCAGTATGTGTTGGGATAGTCTGTGTGCTAGATATGTGTTTGGGTATTTAACGATGGGCCTGCCACATACTAAAGCCTCACAGAATCCTTTTGAGAGGCCGTAAGCTCTCCGTTATAATATTCCTTAATGGAGGGATGGCGAATGGGTAGAACTGCAAACCCCATGATGCTTTGCTAGCCTATACGTCTGCAACAGACATGGGATGTTTGTCTGTTTCCATTAATTATCATTTTTATGTTGGTTATGTATCAATATCTAACTTTTTATTTTTATTTTTTTATTTCCAGGCATATTCAGGACCCAGCGAGCCAGGTGCTAACTTGGAACAAACCACCAAAAAGTGTTTTGGTGATCAAAAAGGTCAGAGATGCCAGTCTACTGCAGCCTTTTAAAGAACTCTGCGTTTTCCTCATTGAGGTAAGTGGCTTTTGGAAAAAAATATATGAATAATGTAACTTCTCAAGAGGTTGTTAGTCTCCATTTTATCTATTGTTTTTGGTTTGAGACTTCAACATCAAGTTATGACTTCCTTGACATGAAAATCTCCAGTTTACCTATTTTCAGCTTCTATTTTTGGTTTTAATCTTTAAAAAAATAATAATAATAATAATAATAAAATATATATATATATAAAATAATAATACTCTCCTTTTAAATTCTTCATGCAGCTATAAATCCAATGCGTGACCTCATGCTTTCTATTTTCATAAAATTTAGGAAAAGGACATGATTGTTTATGTGGAAAAGAAAGTGCTGGAAGACCCCTCTATCATCAACGATGAGAACTTCGGACCAGTGAAGAAGAAATTTTGCACTTTTCGAGAAGGTAAAAGGGATAAGCACATATATCTCAAAGAACAGAATAATGACACATTTGGAATTGCAGTATTTTTTATTTTTTTTAAAATAGCAGAAGAGGGTAGAAATTTGAGTTGGAGATTTTTTTCAAATTCAGTGGTTTTGGGGAAAACATTGTCAATTTCACTCTTTTTTTTCTTGTTATTTCTGGTTTTGTGATTAACCAATCACGATTTACAAGCAAAATTACCTCGAGGTTCATTGAAAGTTGTTAGAAAAGTACAGTGGTTGGTGATGCCCTTAAATGTTGCAGGAAAAGTTACGTAGGCTGAAAAGAGACGAACATCGAGTTTGTGAGCCTTTCTCACATTTGTTTTTGCTGTTAATCCAAAACAAGGCAAAAAACACCAGTCTGAAGCTCTTCTAATTTTGCAACAAAATAGGAAAAAAATCCTTCTAGACCCCAGAATGGCAGTCGGATATCTCCTTGGATCAAGAGGCTATTACCCCACAAATTAAAAATGATATGAATTATGACTATATGAATAATGATATGAATATTATGTTTTTGCAAAAACTCTGAATTCCAGTGTCTGTTTAAAAATCTGAACAGACTCTGATAAAACCACCTCCTCGTGCATTCCACTTCCTTATTGTTCTTGCTGTAAAATACCATTTTCTTTGCCTTAGACAAAATCTCCTTTCTTCCAGTCTAAATGTGTGACCTTGTGTCCTATGTATAGTCCTGTTTAGAATGTGATTTTATCTAGACCCATTATTTCACATAGGGGATAAGCTCCAAAATGATTCCTCTTAAAATAGTTTTTTGTGTGCCAATTACATTTTTTTTTTTTTTTATACCAGATTATGATGACATCTCCAATCAGATTGACTTCATTATATGCCTTGGAGGGGACGGGACCTTACTGTATGCGTCATCTCTCTTTCAGGTCTGTTATATTCATCTGGTCATTAACCTGTCCAAATAAGCCTCTGTAGACTTGATAATAGATCTACACCTGCAGTTTAGCATTACTTAGCTATAAAGATTTTAATGAACTGTGAAAGGAGGCTCAATTCACCAGGAAGCGTAGATTGTAATGAGAATTGGATCACTTTAAACGGACATTCGGGGGCACCAATACCACTTTACCAATTATATGCTGTATTTTTCGCATACTCAAATCTTTGTGCTATTTGAGAAAAAAACCTGTGTGTTTTATAAAAGCCTTCAGCATAATCATGTCTTCTTAGCCACACCTTCTTGTTCCAGGAAAAACAAAAATCAAAATATCATATATAGCAGCATATATATATATATATATATATATATATATATATGTACATAGTTCATCCAGTAACAACCCTGAGTGAACTCATGCAGCCTGCATTAGTAGGAGAGGACACCCAAACAGGTCTATACAGGTTTGTGTACCAAAGTAAGAATTCAAAGTGATTTTAAAATTCAAGGTAAAAGTAGTTGAAATGGAAGAATCTCTGAGTTAGTTTGACTGCTCTGGCCTTAAATTTTAAATTCATTTTGAATTCCCACTGTAGTGAATGCCCAATAGTAAGCATATGGCTAGCTGTTGGTTTTCTTGCAAAACTAGAACCAAAATCTCGTTTTGGGAGAATGTGTGTTACACAAAAAGTCCTTATAGTGCAGTTGGCAGCAGGATTAACCTTTATTCCACACACACACTTTAACAGAAAGACAAAAATTGGTATACTATAAACATATACCTTAAGTGGAGCGCTTTTTGTCTGTTGTTTTTCTGTCTGTAGTTTGGTTGTGGATTAAATATAGAAGTCTCTTTGTATGTTACACGTGAACAGAGTTTGTGTAAAGATATTCTAAATACCTTTTTAAAAACTAATTTTCTTCAAACGTTCACTCAGATAGTTAGTCCAGAGAAGGTGAGTATTAGCAGTACTCCAATCATTCTGACAATAATCAGGACAAACTGCAGCAACCCTAGGATTTCCATCACCTTGTACTACATTCAGTAAAAAGAAACAAAGAAAAAAAAATATGTTTTAAGGGAAGCATTAAAAAAAGAATATTTTTGAAGTTTTATATAAGGAAAAGTAGGGACTACTTTTCTTTACATATAACCTGCAGGTTTACAAACGTTATCAAAGAGTGGAGATTTAGTCATCCGTTGTCAACTTTTGTCATTGGTTGTCAGGCTCTTTCTGACCCCCAGGTAAGTTCTCTTTTAGTTTAGTTTTGTTGTGTAGACGGGGGCCTGACATTGATAGGCTTAAAGGAACGCTCCAAACGTTAAAACTGAACTTTGATTTTTAACATTGGGAGTGTTCCTGTACGTCTGTCACTATTTGTCATCTACATGCTGCTTTGGTTACAAAATGCTTGTAATATACAATGGCACTTCTGCATTCAATGTACAGTCAAGCTGCAATCAGTCACCAAAACAACACAGGTAGTGATATCCTTACTATATATCTGCCTGCGTGTCCTCTTATTCTAATGCAGGTTGCTGGTTTTTCGATTTACTCGTTATGGTTAGTGACAGGCTTATGGTGCAGAATTCCAAAAACATTTCATTTACTTTGGAAAAATTACAAACTAGTGGTACAAACTAGCTGATTAATGAGACCAAAACCTGTCAAATGATTCAAATAGTTTTGGAGCCCGGAGTGTCCCTTTAAGCAGAGAGTGTAGAACCAGTTTGACCTGTTTAGATACTGATGTTAAGGACCGTTTCCTCTGAGTAGCATTCAAGCTTGTAGGTGTAACTCTGTTCTGTATTGTTTCCAAGCGTTGCATAACTCGGAAAATTCACTTAATCCTGATACAGTTCTGCAATGGGCTACAGTAGACAATTCAGTTCAAGAGTTTTATGCACTAAGCTCCTAAATTATATTGAATTAAAGCAAACTGCAAAATCTAGGCCAAAATGGCTCATATTTGAAAATAGATCCACTTTGTCATAGTTAGTTTATTCTTTTGGATTTCAATCACTACAGTTTGCTCCTTACTGGAAAGAAACAACACTGAACTGAGCCATTAACAGATTTATTATTATGATTTTCTTAAATTGGAAAATAAGTACAAAAATAGCAAGTACCAGAACCTACAGCTGTTTCACAGAGCCTCACATTAGCATTTTCAAACAGTTCATCATAGTAATGGTTAGTTCTTTGTTTTTGATTTTTTAACTGTACAATTTCATAATTCTAGACTGCATACCTTCCAACTGTCCCTATTTAGGAAGGACAGTCCCTACTATTTTGTGCCCAAATTCCTCTTTTTTTTTTTTTTATTCCTCTTTTCTTTTCTATTGTCCCCCTTTTTCTAGGAGTCCCATGTTGCTGGTGTGGCTCAGAGTATAACTGAGCTTCACAGCAATAATATTCACAGTAATGTTACAGTAAATGTGTTTAGATATTAGTCTGGGTGAGTAAGATACATTGATCTTGTTCTAAATTACATTTAACGGCAGACTACAGGCACCCAGACAACTTCATCAAAATGATGGGGTCTGGGTGCCATGCCACCCCGTTTTGTCCTGCAAGGGAAATACCTCAGACAGCCGCTAGAGGTGCTTCTTCCAAAATAGCGGTTTGGGGCAGCGTTTTGTCCGCACATGCGCCTTAGCCTCTTATATGGAAGCATTGGATTGGCTGAGATTGTTGATATCAATGTTTACAGCCAAGGACTCCAGCACGGAGACTGGTAGCGTCAGTAGCTAAACAGCCACCTGGGCACTGTTGCCGAGGACTACAC